TGACAGTTCAAATCCATAGATGGTCAGGCCAAAAGAAATGTGGTCAATGATTAAAAAACAAGCAAACAAATAAATAAATAAGTAAAAATCTCTTTTTGTAATCTCTATGCTTTAAGTCCAGTAGTGATGACTAGATATGATCTGTGATGCTGTTTAATCACTCTATTCATATGATCCTTAATACACTGACAAGATTTGGCCAGATGGTTGGTGAATTTAAAAAGCTGTAATTGTTATTTAAGTGTCTCTGTAATGTTTTATGACTGTCAGATCTGTTCATTCATTAACTTGTCTGAGTGGAGAACCCCTGTGTCCTCAAACAAATATTATACCATTAGTGTTATACCAATGCTTTGCTCTGTTGAAAAAAAGAAAAGAGCCACAGTGCAACACTTTCAACATAGGAAGCTAAATCATTTAAGAAGGCTGATCAAAGAGAAGTGTTTAAAATTGAATGAAATGTCAAATTGGTGTACACTGATTTTGACCAATTCCATGTTTTTATTTTATTTAAATGCACGAACAGTGTGACTATGAAGCTTGGAAACTGACAGAAATATTTGCATATGAATTTCATATATTTTAATTCTATCTGAATCGCATTCAAATTCTATTTGATTATGTGATTCTATTTGAATTTGAATTTACAAATAAAATTCTAGTTTTTGGGGTTGCATTTAATAAATTTACATTTTTGCTAAAGTTTTTTTTTTTTCTTTGTTTTGAACTTGCTTGGTGTAAGATTTACCTTTTAAAAAATCATTCAAAATTTCAGGTTACAGTTTTGAGATTTTTAAAAATCAAAACCCTAAATACAGAGCTCAAAAATTCAAATATCAAAAATACAGATTTTTGTTTAGTTTAGTTTATTCATTTATAAAGCACATTTAAAAACAACTGAAATTGAAACCAAAGTGCTGTACGAGTTGTATAAAGCAAATCTATACACAAAAATCATTTAAAAATACAAAATACCGAGAGACAAATGGACATTTTCAAGGCTCAGACTGAATTAAAAGATAAAGAATAAAAGTGAGACTTCAAGGAGCATTTGAACATAGCAATAGAGGAGGATGATCTTATATGAAAAGGGAGACTATTCCAAAGCCTGGGAGCAGCCACTGAGAGCCCTTGGTTTTGGAACGTGAACGTGGTACTGAAAGGAGTAATTGACTTGATGATCGAAGAGATCTTGGGGCAGTGTACAGACTAAGGAGATCACACATGTATGGCGGAGCAAGCCCATGCAAAGCTTTAAAAACAAATAATAAGATTTTAAACTCAATGCGGAAATTGATTGGCAGCCAGTGAAGAGAGGCAAGCACAGGAGTAATTTGCTCACGCTTCCTAGTGCCAGTCAAAAGTCTGGCCGCTGCATTTTGCACCATTTGCAGGTGATCTAGAGCAGTCTTAGGCAAACCCAAATAAAGGGAGTTACAGTAGTCCAACCTTGATGTTATAAATGAGTGAATAACAGTTTCCAGATCCTGCTTAGATAGCATCTTATTTATTTTAGCAATTGATCTCAACTGAAAGAAGCTGCTCTTGACAACAGCATTAATCTGCTTATCAAAACACAGTGAAGGATCTAGAATAACACCAAGGTTTTTCACGCAATCACGCACATTGGAAGACAGATTAGGCCAAAAGTGAAGCATCCCAGATTTCCAGAGAAAAGTAGTTACTTTCAGAGTGGTCAAACTAATAAAAAGATTTTATGTTATGCTCATATAAGCTAGTTTTCTACAATGATTGTAGAATTAAATGCTTAGTATATGCCCAGTGTAACTACTTAAATAACACTGTAGCTAGTTTTAAGCTTTGATAACGTTAATTTGCTGCCAATCATTAGCAGCTAGCAGCCAAAGTGTGATCCTTAATAAGAAGTTAGATATTACAGTTAAAAATAAATAAATAAATAAATAAACAACTTTACATACTTACCTCATTATGTTTGATATCTTCTGTTATGACTCCATTTAACTCTACTCCACAGCTCTACACTTCACTTCATGAACATGAGCATGACAGACAACTGTGATTGGCTAAATGCTGAGTTCGGCCAGTGTAACGAATATAATTCAAATATGCAAAATTCATTTCAAATATATTTAGCCTCCAAGTGACAAGCAGTGACATTGAAAATGTACGTAGACATGTGCAAAGACAATATAGACAGATATATAGTTAAAAGACGGGAAATGGAATAAAAGATGAAATAGATGACACATTGCCCACTCACCAATAGTCGGAGAGCAGTCATTTCCTAAGAAAGGGTTCCAATCTTTTAAACTTAAGCTCTAGGTTACACAGTCTTCATACATTCCATTGATATCCCTGCTAAGACATCCAACACATTTCCCTTCTGCCTCCATGCATTATACATGTAAGCCAGGATTATAATGACTCTTTATCAATTACAAAAACGCCACGGGTATAATTAATCTCTACAACATGCCAATACTGTACAATGTAAATGGTTTCCCCCTTCTAGCCACTCGATACACGCCATTAATTTATTCTGCATCGGAATGAATAGGCTCTCTTATTGCTGATCGCGACGTTGCATGGAGCTCCGTCACTAGCTGCCAGCATCTAATTGCCTTTAGGCACAGTCCATCCCATTCGAAAGAGATTAACGATTAAGATGCATGTAGGCAAAATGTGTGTATAATAGGGTTCGCTTAACAGAGTGCTAGTATGTCACAAAGATGAGCTCTCAGTGATTGAATCAGCAACGAGTTAACTTAAAGCCACATATTGTGCCTGGTATTGGGAGAAACCTGGCTGTTAACAGCACCGAGGAGCACACATTTCCCGGACAGTGTCACTACCCTTGTCAAATAAATCCTAAAGGATTCCAATAAGAAACTTGTACAGGATTCTAATTAGAATTTGTCTTATAATTTGGAACTTATAGGACAAGACATAAATATCCTGTAGGACCACTTTTACAGGATTTTTTAATGGGATCCATTAAAACCTTCCATTCTATGTCAACCGTATTCTGAAATTCTATTTTAAAAAGTATTAATGTTCTATATGAATCGGTCTATACTGTATGTAGTTTCTAAATTGATTAAATTTAAGTTGTGGTATAAATATGTTTAAAAAACTTTATTGTAATAACATGGAAAAACAGCACATCTTGTGCTAATATTTAATTGTGAGCACAGTACACGTAAGCTTTAAATAAAAGAAATGAATTGTTTCAAACTTTGTGTTCCATGAGTCATTAACTATTAATGACCAATACAGATTAAGATGTTTGCAGAATGGTTTCTTAAAATTTATTAAATGCACACACACACACACACACACACACACACACACACACACAAACACACACACACACACACACACACACATATATATATATATATATATATATATGATTTTGCCTTTATACACCACCACAATGGAGTTGAAATAAAACAATCAAGATATGATTGAAGTGTAGACTTTCAGCTTTAAGAGGTTCCACAAAAATATGGCATTTATCGTTTAAGAATTACAGCCATTTTCAGCAAAGTACCTCCATTTTCAGGGGCTCAAAGGTATTTGGACAAAGTGACATAATTGTAAATATAACCATAATTTTAATACTTGGATGAAAATCCTTTGCAGTCAATGACTGCCTGAAGTCTGAAGCCCATGTTCTCAAAACTCAGATTCTGAGTTTCCTCCCTGGAGATGCTTTGCCAGGCCTTCACTGCAGCCACCTTCAGTTGCTGCTTGTTTGTGGGTCTTTCTGGCTTCAGTCTTGTCTTCAGTAAGTGAAAAGCAGCTCTATTGGGTTGAGATCAGGCGACTGACTTGGCCATTGAAGAATATTCCATTTCTTTGCCTTCAAAAAGTCTTGAGTTGCTTTCGCAGTATGTTTAGGGTCATTATCCACCTGCACTGTGAAGCGGCGTCCTATTAGTTTTGTAGCATTTGGCTGAATGTGAGCAGAGAATATAGCCCTATACACCTCAGAATTCATCTTGCTACTTCTGTCAGCAGTCACATCATCAATAAACACCAGTGAGTCCGTTCCATTGGCAGCCATACATGCCCATGCCATAACACTTCCTCCACCATGTTTGATGTGGTATACTTTGGATCATGAGCTGTTCCTTTCTTTCTCTTCCCATCATTCTGGTACAAGTTAATCTTGTTTTCATCAGTCCAAAGAATCTTATTCCAGAACATGGGAGGCTTTTTTGATGTTTTCTGGCAAAGTCTATTCTGGCTTTTTTCATAATGTCATTAATGCTGACATTATGTGCCTGTGTTTAATCCAAGAATGTTTATGTACTTGGCATATGCTTTTCTCCAAAATTAAAACTGAAACGTTTCATAAGTTTTTGCCAGATATACAAGTACATAGTGAAACGATACAACGTTTCTCCAGGACCAAGGTGCTACACAAGACAAACACAGAACAACACAGAACTACAGGGACTACATAATTTATACATAAAGTGCACAAGTGCAAACATGTGCAGACAACACAAGACAGAGCAAGATAGTACAATGACTACAGCGCTGACCAGTACCTCTTGTACAGTACACAGTTCTGTTTAAAGGTGACCTAGTGACAATAGTGCAAATATTACGAGAGTAAGTAGCTGAAACAGTGTAAACATAATTGTAGCAGCCTATGTACAGTAATAATCCAACCCCCAAAGTTCCAAGTTTAACCCCTTAACAAGCCAAAAACTCCTGAGGGAAAAGGTTCAGAAAAGGCGGAATGCAGCAATATGGAGAAGCCTCTCTTGCAAACAAGTGTCCAAACAGCTTGCTGATATCCTCAGTGATTGTCTGGCAGAGATGTGTGGCTTCCAGCGTGACTAACATCCTCTACTCAAATGCATGTATCACAGGCAATATTGGTTTGAATCTGTTTAGCTACATTTCACATGGTGAGGTGGAAGCATTTTACCTTTTTTTTTAAAAAACTATGTAGCTTTAGGGAATAAAACTGATTTGAATAAGTAGTGTTGATAAATACTAGGGTCCTGGAGGACTAGTGGATAGGCCACAGCACTCTCACTGCCACGGCCCGGGTTTGATTCCTGGCCAGGGAACCAACCTCAGTCTCTGGGGCTGCACATGACATTGCACCCCCTGTGCCGGTCCCAAGCCCGGATAGAGTTGGGGAGGGTATCCCCAGTAAATTGATTTGGTGTAAAAACTGTACCAATGTGGACCAACGATCTGTTGTGGCGACCCCTAACAGGAGCAGCCGGAAGAAGAAGAACAACAGTGTTGATAAATATTACATAAACATATTCTACATGTTTAAAAGAACTCGCATGGAAGAGGGATAATTGCATTCAAATGAGATAAATATGTCCTCAGATTAGATTAGATTAGATTCAACTTTATTGTCATTACACAGTATGAATACAGAGTAACGAAATGCAGTTTAGCATCTAATCAGGTGCATGAAGCAAGAAAATGTCTGCACACTGAATAAAAACCAGACAACAAAGGTCTATCAAAATATATATTTATTATTTTAGACTTGCATAGTGAAAAAAATGCAAAGATCAGTGAGTTAAACCAGACCAGTGAGCAGATTTTTCAGCCCATAGCTTTCTTCAGTGCTCACCTTAGGAGTTGCTCTTGATTAAGCTCAGCTGGTCTCAATCTTCAATTATGTGTCTGTAAAAGGGATGAACTGTTGTTTGTTAGGTGAGCACTGAAGAAAGCTATGGGCTGAAACGTCTGCTCACTGGTCTGTTTTAACTCAGTGATCTTTGCACTTAGATGTTTGATAGACCTTTGTGGGCTGGTTTTCATTCAGTGTGAGGACAGCCTCTGCCTTGGTTTTTAAAAGAACAGGTATAAAATGAAACCATGTGGTGTTTACTGTCAAATTCTCTACAACACTTTTCTACAACAAATCTAATATATTAAAGTTTCTATTGTAATGACTTACATAGGGCAGACACTCCACATATGTAGATTAAAACCATGTGTATATATTGATGTGATGTGTGGAGAAATTTAACATTTTGGAAGGAGTCTCCAGTGTCAGTGCTTTGTAACAGTCAGAGGTAAAGCTGTAACTGTTTTTTGCACTATGGAAACGTCTTCAAGACTGAGTTACAAGCTTTATGTTTTTTTCTTATTACCTCCAAGAGAAAAAAGAGACAAAAGCAAAATACCTAAATTATTTCTTGGCTGTTCCATAACATTAAACATAACTATAAATGGATAAAAAAATGACATGTTGTTCTTTAATAAATAAAAAAAAAATTGTCAGCTTTGGTAAATTGCTGTGATGTAAGAGGAATTCAGGGCATGCTGTTATTGGAAAAATAATCAGCTTCAGGGTGGTAACAGCATTACATCACCCTGTTGTTTATAATTTTCCAATAACAACATGCCCTGCATAGCCTCCCTATCATGCAAACCTAATGCACATTATTAGACAATGTTATTCTGTACAGTCTTCCTCAGACGAAGCCACAGGAACATGTGCAACATAATCTCTGTTGATTAAACAGACAACAATAAAATCTACACTTTCACTATTACTACTTGTTCCGTTGATGGACAAATAAAGTGCTTTCCAAAGTTTGTATCGGATGATATGTACGGATGCTCCTCAATGTGCATGCAGAAGATGCTAGTATGATGAGGTAGAACATGGTTTCTGTTTTATAAACTATCACAATTGCTTTCTGTCCTCTAGAAAGCTGAGATGGAGACACTGTCTAACTAATAAACAACGGGAGGTTAAAAAAGGAGACCTTAAATCAGCGAGAGAACCAAACTGTAGAGTCTATTTATTTCTGTCAGTACAGAGTAATGGAGACTGGAGAACACTCCCTCTGAAGATGAGCAACTGGGTGTCAAGCTGCATGTGGCTGTTTGTGAAGTCCAGCTAGTGCTCGCTTGGCCCAATGGCTGGAGCATGCTGTTTTTGGGGAACTCCTTGCATGGCTGGAAGTGTTGAAGTAACCTCTTTAGGCATGGAGAAAGCATTCTGTTTCAGAGCTTCACTGTCATTCTTCCACTGTTTCCTGACAGTTTTGTGAGCCTGCCTCTTCAAGTAAGACTTCTCCCACTGATAGATCAAGTCCTCAATCAGTCCCACCTATAGAGCAACACAAATAAAACTGCAGGATCAGAAGTGCACAATGCAGGGAAACTATCAAGATCAACCCAGAGACCCATATTTTCTCATCCCCTTGGAGGCTTAATTACCTCCTGAAGATGGTAGGATGGGGCTGTACTTCCCATTCTCCTTCATTCTGGAGGAGATCGCCAAGCATGGGAATATTTTTTTTTTGTCTGGGCTTTGAGTAAAGAACAGAAGGCGGAGTGAAATATGAAAGTGAATGCACAATGAGAAAATGAATGAAAAAGCCTATACAGAGACAGGAGCTACTGTAGGAAAAAGAAAAGCTTCGAAATTGAAGGGGGCCAGAGAAAAAGAAAACAATGAACAGAGGCAGAGAGAGAAAGATGAGAAGGAAAAGCTAATGCAGCAGAAAGAGTGTGAGTGAGGTTAGACGGCCTGTTTACCAGTGCAGTCAGGATTCAGCCTAAGACACTGTTTTGAGAGCATCTTTCCCCTGGACACTGGCATAAATTTGACACAAGAGTGGACTCAACAGTCAATTCACCTCCTAAATGCACTCCTTCTCCCTCTTCTGAGAGTGGTCTCACACACACACACACACACACACACACACTAGCACCAGGCTCTAAGGGAACAACCATTAGGTCTTCTATTAATGTGCAGCTCGCATCTCTGCTGTGTCTCTGTGCGTGTGAGGGAACTTGACAGGGGAAAAAGAAAAAGCACCAACCAGCAGAGGGTGGGGCTTCACAAGGCCATGGCCAAAACCAGAGGCCACGTCTCTGATTTGAGAATTGTAAAAATGCTGCCAGTGTTTGCCAGCATCTATCAGAGCTGGAGCCAAAACACAAGGTCTCTACAGCTCAAGAACACAGGCTGTACCAGCTACAAACCTACAAACCTAACCATTATTCACCCCTGCTGATGGGATGCCTGCTGTCCAAATCCCATCTCAGTTTTTTTTGGCAATATTTTCTGCATACTCAACCACTTTGCTTTGGTAGCCCCCCCCCCCCCCCCTTTTTTTTTTGTGAAGCCTTGATTATTTTTATCTACGGACTCCATCTATGGGCACTGCTGCATGAAAGAGCCAGCCATGCATCACTTTCACTCTTTTAAGAGACAAGGCAGAAAAAATGAAGGAGGCTCATCCCAGGGGTGTGTTACTCACAGTTATTTCTACTGCTCATGGGGCTAGAGTGCACTTATTTCAGGCTGGTGGACCAGGCAGCCTGAGAATCTGCATCCAATGGCTCACCAAAGCAAACAGACCATTCGATGTAGGCCACAGTATTTCAAAACATAGCCTTTGTGTTTGTCAGGTAAAGACCTTTTGATTTAGGTTCCCACAAATACAGACCTGGATGAGGAGAAATCAACCCTCACTCCCGTTTTATTTCTGTCAAGGCAGTGTTTCTAAGCTTCATAAATTTCCCATGCTCATGGCTTACTGTTCCATAAAGTAAGGGTGGCCACTACTAGGAAAGTATATGAAGCGGTTTGATCGCTGATTAGAAATTTCTATGATGTAGAGATAAATTAATTCATGATCTTTCATGATCCATGAAGTTTATGAGGTGGATTGTGCTTTAGCTTTCAATGGCCCTTTGCTAGAGAAAGGTCAAGCTCATAAGAAAGTAGAAGAATATCAATGAGAATATGCATAAGCTTAGAACTATGAATGCTGATATTAAAGGGATACTCCAGCAATTTTCAGTTTAACTTCTATCCACCACATCTGCAGCATATATGTGATTACAGTAGACAACAATTCCAGCACAGTTCCCTGTTCTGAGAAAGGTTTCCTTAAAACACATTTAGAATAGAAAGCCGAGGGGCAGTTGTTGGGGCAGTTAATAAGTATTTATGCACTTTTTCTGGCATACTTTAATGAATTCTTCAGTCAAATTGTACTTGTGAATTAAGCCCTAAAGCTGTAAAATTCTGAACAATCCTTTCAGAGATAGAACTATTTTATTCAGATGGAAGACGATCTAGTGAAGTGTTGATGCTGAAGACCCTCATTTTCAATCTGGATATCTCAAAACCTTCAGGAAAAATAAGTAATTAGAATTCTTTCTAATTTTTTTTTTTACTTTGCTCCAGTCTTGGATAAAAATCTACCTAAGAACAGCTTTGGTAAGACATAATCTCATGCCTGTTTCATCAAAACAATAAAAGACATTTATTGTTAGAGTGTAATGGTAGTAGTTTTAAATTTACATGATATTGTCACATAGATGTGGTGGGCTGAGATTAGTATGAAAAATGCTGAAGTATTCCTTTAAAGCTACAATAATGCAATTAGTAAATCTATTTAACATTTATGAAAGGAGTCTCCAGTGTCAGTGTAATCCACCACAAGTAACTTACTGTCAGTAAGTTTTCCACCACAAGAATATTTTCAAGACAGAAGACTTTGTGCGTTCTGGTTTCTAATAAAATGACAAGCTGCAGTTTTTGTCTCATTAACTTCAAGAGACTGGTGAAGGTACAACTCTATAGTTGCTACTGTCTCATGGACGTTCCACAACATTAAACATAGTTATAAATGGTTAAAAAGTATGACATGTCATTCCGTAATAAATTAAAATTTGTAATTGTGAACAAACTGCTGTGACTTAAGAGAAATTAAACTGTGGTTAACTCTGCTTCATGTCAAGCCACATCAGACCACCCCAGCATTGACTATTTTCCTAACAGCATGTCCTGAAGTGTGTTATTCCTTACATAACTCATAGCACCTTCTAAATAATAAGCCTCATGGTTGATAACTGAACAATAAGCTGGGACTTAACTGGGTTAACTGTCAAAGAAGACACCTCTTAGATACCTCATTTGCTAAATAAGTTGTATGTGTAAAATGATGCAAGCTCATTCAGAGCCAAAAATATTAGGTTGATTTGGGTTCCATTTTTCGTAAACAGTGTAAATTGAAAGGGCATCTACAGCATTTAAATGTGGCTTTTAATGTTCAGAGCTTTATGACTT